ATCCATGGGATCACTAACTAATTTTGCCAGAGGTTCACTTTGAGAGTGGAATGGGGAGCAGTAAACAAAACTTCAAGCTCCTGTACCCACAATGGCTAGCTACAAAGTGTTTGTTGCCAAATACCATTCCTCCATATTCCTCTTTTGCCTTTGCTTTGGTTAGACTGGAAAGGGAGTGGGGGAGAACCAGATTTGGCTCAATTTTCCAGTAGCTGATCCTTCTTCTAAATAGCTGGTGCTTGAATCCTGGCACGATGGAGGCACTGTAGGAGAGTGGTTCCTGTGTCCAAGCAATCGGTCAACTGCACTTCCCCTGAAGTAGCGGGTTTGCAGTATGGGGTTGCTTCTGGATCCAGCTTTTTTACTAGAGGGCCAAGTGTCGCCTCAGTGCCTAGAAGCACCTTTTATTGGCTACAACTGGCACGACAGCCACAAATGTTCCTGGGCTGAAAAAGCATTAGTTCGTGTACTTCAAGATTGGATTACTGCAATGCTCTTCACGTGGTCTTCCTTGCATTTGATTCCGAAGCTGCGGTTGGCGCAGAATGCTGCGGTACAACTGCTAACAGAAGCAATTGTTATCATACAACAACTCTGCTCAGAGACCTGCAAAGGTTGCTAGTTTGCTACTGGGTGAAGTTTAAGGTGTTACTCTTAGTATATAAAGCCCCTAGCAACACGGGACCAGTTTACTCGTGAGATCGCCTTACCCCCATATATGCCAATTCAACTGCTTCAGTCTGTAGAACTGGCCTGCCACAATACGCCTTCTACATTTGTAGGAAATCAATCTTTTAGTGTGGCACTACGCACACTTTGGAACTCCCTGCCTATGGACATCACACAGGCGTCTTCACTGTACTCTTTTAGGCACCTTTTGTTTAGGCAAGTTTATTCACACAAGTAGACAGTTAACATGTCTTTTAATCTGGTTTTCATCTTATCATTCATTTAAACTATTTTCAAATGTTTTAAATAGTTGGTTTTATTGTTCTTTACAGATGCTATTGTTTTATTCTTTCTGTAAACTGCTTTGAGGTTTTATAACAATCAAGGGGCATTGTAAAATCAATCAATCACATCTTAATGCAAGCAAAACGCCACATTGCCACTCATTTTTCAGAACTGCCTGCCTCTGGGACAACTTTGAAACTGTAGACTTGCAATTTTCCACCTATTTTATTCTATTAATAAAATTCAATTTTGGGGGAAGTTTTCCCCTTGTATTTGTTGCTCCATCCCTTAAACTAGACATTTCCATTTTGCACAACGTACAGGAAAATTGTACTATTTCCCTATTTGTTACCACCTACCTTAAAAATGGCTTTGCATAACCATTGAACACTGGAAGAAAAAGGCCACCCAATTTAACTAAGCAATTTTCATTAAAGGAAAAATAAGCAAGAATCTATAAAGTAATGAGTGATCCTATTAGTTCCACCAGACTAAAATCATACAGTCTACGTATGTGGTCTTCTAAGCCACATCTGTCACGAACCATTTTGGAACCATGGATTGTAGACCACTTATTAGGAAAGACTGAACAAATACAGATTTGTCGTTCTTAAGAATTATTTCATGAAAGACTGAAGACAACCATACAAGAAATGCCCTAACACATTTGCAGCAGCTAACACTAATATATTTGTATTTTATCTGTCCAATTCATTTATAGGAACATTTTCTTTTAAAAAAAAGTGATGCAGAGTTAACTGGAACAAACTGGCTATATAATCACAGGATAATGAGTTAAACAGCCAAACAGGCAGATAAGCTGTCAAACAGCTCCATTAAATATAAAACATTCATTATTCCTCTGTCAGTTTTTACCACATATTGCTAATGTCATATTAACATCTCTATTCTGAAGTCTGCTTTAAACTATCAACAATTCTGTCTTTAAAATACAGTATTTTGCATGCTCTTTTAGAAACAGATTTGAAATGCAGATTCCACACACAGATCAGACAGGCATTTCAACTCAGGACCTTTGAAAGCTCACATCAATCAACTTTTGTAATTGTCTTTATAAGCAGCAGAAGAGAATCTTACCAATATGGCAGATTTTCACTATGTCTTTATATGGTAGTAGAAATTAACAGTTCACAAATGTTCACATCTATTTTATTCTTTTTCAAAATCGCATTCTTAAATAAAACCACAATTATTCAAAATATGTTATTTTATAAACTATTAATAATTTCTTATCAGAATAGGAAATCCAATTTTTTTAAATGCTGCCTCTCAAGTGTTTGAGAGACATGGGATACATTTAATATACCAACAAGCACGAATCCTTTTATGGTTCTCTGTCATTCAATAATGAATTCTGGAAAAGAAATCAGAGACACCCAAGTGGTTTGGCAACTGTAAGTGACAGAAGCTATGCTAAATCCTCTGTTTACACTGGGGATTAGCTGAGTAGATTGTGAGCAGCAAACTGAGCTGTCCATGGTCAAGGGAACCTGTTCCTTGTCAGCCTATAGGGCACAAGGACAAAACATGGTCCTGGTAGGAAGTGACCCATAAACATATTCCAACGAAGGATTTATACAAAGCCAGTCTGCCTCATAGAAACTCCATATGACCATTAACTGGACTCCAAGGCTTGCCAGGAGGCCTAATTACAGGTCTACAGAGCCCAATAACAAAAGCTGAAGAGCTTTAGCCTAGGGATGATCTGCTTTATACTGACTTGAGAGAGTCCATATAGAGTGACAAAAAGAAAGAGGTTTAGCTTTAAAATTCTCCCAAGAGAGACAGCATTGTAACTAAGCTTGGAAAGCGCACATGCAACATACTTCAGATAGGCTTAAACATACTACCCTCTCAAAATTAACATTCAGCTACTGCCTGCTTAACATCTGCTAAGTTGCTGTGATATTGTTAGACTATGCTAAAATGGCTTTCTTCTGTCTAACTATTGAGAGGGATAAGTAAATAAAGTCACTCAAATATAAATTTATAGTTGATAGCAATAATCCTTTCTGAGTGGCAGTTCTTACGAGCACAAAATTAGTTTCTTTAACAACTCATTAAAACCGCTTATGTGACTTTAGTTATTACCCTTACTGCGTAAATATATCTACAGTCTGTCATTAACATGAAATCTCTTACCAATATCCAAGCAATATAAACTAGATTTGTGCTCTTATAAACACAGATTAGTAGTTTAGGCTTCTTGAAGGCATACCTTACGTAAGTTCCAGAGTGACTGAGTAGTTATTAAACTTTATATAAAAATTACCTGAAAACACCATGAACATGATAAATAGACCAGGAACATGAGGTGCTTTCAAATACACAAGCTAAAACAAATAAACCCCAAAATACTATCCCCAAACTCTTTTATACGTGCCTTTAAAACCTTTGTCTGTACTTTAAAAATCAAACTGAAATACTCAGAAATTCAGACATTTTTGTTGAACACTCAGATATGCTAATGATGTTGCACACATTGACACATGCAATGGTTACTAAAACAGAAGAAACTTTGTGCGAACTACGAAATACCAAACTAAAGTATATGATTACTTATGTTTTCCTAGGCTAACAACTTGCTACTTGAACTCTAGAAAAGTTTAATATTTCAAAACATGAAAGAAAACTTATGAAACATAAATGAAGATCTTAATATATGTTACAACCATACAGCTAAATAGTCGTATGTTTGTGTGTGGGTATGTGTGTGGGTATAAAATTTTCACTCCTCACAGAACAAGAAAGCATAAAGAACAAAATGTTGATTTCCAATATTGTTCAACATAATCCCTAATTTTACAAAAGGAATCCAAGGGACCGTTTATGCACTTATTCTTTTCAATGTTTAAATAAAAGTTAGGAAAGAGATTTCAAATTTCATGAATAACTTTAATGTATTTTCCAATCCCATAATTCATTTAAGAGTAATCTGGACCTAAGGTTTAAACTCCCATTTTAAGTTTTTTAGATTAAAAAGTGTCACAAGAACCTCAAATATGCCTTGAAATCTACAGGCTTCTGATCACAATGACAAAAAATTCATAGTATCTTTAATACATTCTCGAGGTGTTAAATTAAAAAATGAGGTGTGACAGCTCAGAGCAGTATAAACAAATTGTGCTTTTCAAGGTCTGCCCTGTCACATCTACTTTATAATTATATGCTTCAGAGACATATTAAAAGAAGGGGAGAACAATGCATACGTTTCAAACTATGACGGAGAAGATGCTACACTGGAGAATGTGAGCATTTATTGGAAAATGGAAAAGAAAAGAAAAGAAAGTTTTGCTTTTGAACAAAAGATTTCTGCAAAACAGCATCCCCTACAATAGTTACTGTATATTCCACCATTAGGTTCAAATACTAATAAGAAAACACAAAGGCAGAAAATTTAACTATGTTCTTATATGAAGGAGTAGATAGTTTAAAAAACCTTCGGTTTTGTCTTTTAGGCTAAGGTATACACTTTTTTTTTTAGATCATTATCTCCATGATCAGCTGCTCTCTAATGTTTTGTTGTAAATAGGTATGGATATAAATAGAGAACTGTAGCACCTCTATTAAATATATTTAAATGACAGTTCTGCTAATTGACCACACAATCCGAAGTATGTTTATTCAGAAGAAAGTTCCATTAAGTTCACTGAGGCTTACTCTCAGGTAAGTGTGAACAGGATTACAGTCTCATTTAGTTACTGTACTGCCATAATACTTTATGTATTTATTTTTAAGAATTATATCACACCCTTGGTCAAAAGACCTCAAGGCAGGAAACTTTTGAATTACATGAATGAGCCAAAATATAAAAACAAAACATGCAATTTTCAGTTAAAATAATACAACGCAGGTCAAAAGATTTCATAACTCAAAGGCCTGGATGAAGAATAAAAGCTTCACCTGGCACCAAGAGATGGATAGGATCAGAGCCAGTCAAATCTGAGGAGATAAGGTACTCCAAAATTGGGTGCCGTTGCTGAGAGGCACTAAAACAACATTATTACTTCCATCCATTTACTTACCAGCAGCTTCAAGAACCAACTGTAATCTAGCTTTCGCCTGTTCAGCCGCGGACTAGAAAAAAGGAGGAAAAAGGAATAACTATTATTTTTTAATTATCAAACTTGCAACCTGTCATTTCTCCCAAAGGAGTCCAAGACAGCAAACACCAAAATGATAAAACAGATGATACTAAAATATAAACATATTTAAACCATCTAAAAACTTGTTATGCAGTCACATACTCTCAGAGCTGGTAATTTCAAGGTTGGCAGGAACAGTATCTCCCAGCTGCCAAATGCCTGGGTAAACACAGATGTTTTTAAATTCCTCCTGAAGGTTAGTAATAAGGGACACAGATGCATTTCACCAGGGAGGACATTCCACAAACAGGGAACCACCACTGAAAAGTCCCTGTCACAGGTCAATGCCAACTGGGCAGCAACCAGCGGCACCACTAGCAAGAGGGTCTCCTCCGCAAAGCGTAGAGTCCAAGATCAGAGTTAGAAACCGATATATATAAGCTAGGAATCAAATACCACCTTAAACCTAGGTTACGGTCAACACAACAGAATGTCTATTCACCAGGGCGTTGGCACTAGATAACCCTTGGGGACTCTACAATTCTACAATTCATGAGCAAAACTACATTGCTTAGCTGTAGCTTGCTCTTACAACAACAACAACAAATAATAATAATTCTTTTATTATACGCCGCCCATCTGACTGGGTTGCCTCAGCCATTCTGGGCAGCTCCCAACAAAATATGAAAAACACAATCAAACATCAACCACTGAAAACTCCCCTGAACAATTCACTTGCCCCAGTATGCAAGAAGGAGAAACACACACATTGGAAATGGAAATGGTATTAACTATGAACTAAGGCAAAGGTTTTTAAACTGTAGCCTGTGAGTTCCATTGGGTGACCTGGGGAAAGGCTGCAGCACAGACAAAGATACCTGCACTCAGCCCCGCACTTACTTCACTTAATGTGATGATGGAGGACTAAGATGCCCAGCAATGGGTCCATACACCTTTTGCTGTGCACAAGTCAGCTGACTCAATGGAGATGTCAGTCACCAACCTTGTGCCCAGAAATTTCCACATAGTCACAACTGGACCTGCATCAGTAGCTAAACATGCCTGGCACCCAGGAAATTTCGAACAGTGCCCACGATTGATATTGGTGAAGGTTTGCTTTTGGTACTCAGGTCCCAAGCCATTGGACAAGAGGAAGAGAAATTTCATTACAATCAAATGGTATATAAATCTTGTTAAATCACTCACTCAATTAATTGATAAAATATTGTCAACCTCTGCTCCTTGGGCTAGGGAGCAGCTGGGCATGCAAAAGTCAAAGCTCACACCCCACACACATCTTAATGCAAGCAGGCATAAATCGTTGCATGAACAGAATAAGTTACTCAGCCTTACATTGGATACAACCCTTATATACACTTGATATATATTTAATAAATGTAAAAGCATGCAAATTTCATTTTTTATTAGCTAGCATTGAAAATTGTTCAAAACAATGCTTTGGTAAACAAAATAACAAAAATGATGTGACCTGTTTAAAGCTAAGCAATCGACAACAATATATAAACATGTAAATGCAGCACTGCATCATCATTATCAATACTGACCAACAACCAGAAATAGAATTCAGCATTCATCTTATGTATTGAGCCACAGAAATTGCCTTTATACTGCTCAGCTGCAAAATGCCGACCAGTCTGTTCAGATAGTCTAAGGTTTAGACTCTAAAACACTGTCTCAAGTGTACAAAAGCCTGCTCATGTGAGCAGTAAGAACGATTATTTCATATTTCTCTGGACATGTAAACTAGTTTGCCTAATGGTGCCAATTAGAGCATCTTAACTGGCTCTATGTCAACAACATAAATTGTCTCCAGCTACACAGAATTGTGTCTATTGTAAAGAATCCTCAAGCTGATCTCATGTCTTTTTTAAATGAAGGAATGCACCAATCATGAACTTAACAATCACTATATTTGCCTGCCTACTTTTTTACGACTCCCAACAAATTTTGCATTTACATTACTAGTATTCTGAACAGTTTGCCTTCTGCTAACACAGCCTTATAAATCCAGATGTGAATATTACAAAACGGACCCAGTAACCCCAAATGGACCCTATAAAATCAACGAGAAAAAAATTATTAGCTTGTAATATTACAACTGATTTATATAAAGCTTTATAATAAATACGTAATTTTAAATGGATAGCAGTAATTGTTTGTCTTACTGTTGGCCATGCTAGAATAAATTGGGAGCAATCATTCTCTTCAGCTTTATTCAGTTTACAATAATTGTGCCAGTGTGGTTCAGTATATATAACAACAACAGAAGGATAAGGGGGAAATGAAATAGTGTTTTGTTTTGCTTTTGTCCCCAAAGAAAATTCTACAATAGGTCACATCTGAAAATAGACATATTGATTCTATGATTCATTAGGCATAAATATGTTAGTTAATGGATTTGGCCTTATAGTACTTGCTGTATTTCGTATATATAACATAGTTGATATATAACACTCGCTCTATATACAAAAAGATATATAAATATTATTCTTTTTGTAAAAATTCCAGAACTTGATGGTTTTCAACAGCCCCAGTGAAAAAACAAACGTATGAAAGAAATCAATTTAGGTAATAAGGGCTCTTGGGGGGGGGGGATCCAAGCAGATAATAAGAAGCAATCTGAGGAAGCTAAATAATACTACTTAAGTCCCAATAAAGCCAATATACTTTTAATATCAATGCTAGAACACCCTAGGTACCCATAACCCCCACACAAGTTTTTGTGTATTTTTATATAAACATATATTTGTTTTTAATCTATAGCCTAGTTTGCATGTCACATTAAGGCAAGTACAGTGGTACCTCTGGTTACAAACTTAATTCGTTCCGGAGGGCCATTCTTAACCTGAAACCGTTCTTAACCTGAGGTACCACTTTAGCCAATGGGGCTTCCTGCTGCCGCCGTGCAATTTCTGTTCTCATCCTGGGGCAAAGTTCTTAACCCGAGGTACTACTTTCGAGTTAGCGGGGTCTGTAACCCAAAGTGTTTGTAACCTGAGGTGTTTCTAACCCGAGGTACCACTGTAAAAACAAACTATGGTTTCAAAGTGAATGCGTTGTGTGCTGGTGTACACTGCTGAAAAGTTCTTCTTCCATTTCCCCTCTGCTCCTGACAGAGTCTGGCTTCTCATGACACCAAAACGCAAACCCAGAGTGGTAACCATCATTTGCTCTTGGCTTCCTGCTTGTGATTTATTTGGAGAAAGGAAACCACAAGCCTGAGTTTGGAGTTTACAAGAAGTGGCAGTACAGCAGAACCAGGGGAAGTGTGCTGTGGGAACTTTTGAGCACTAGCACGCTGCTCATTTGCATTAAACCATTGCTTGTTTTCAACTATGGTTTAATGGAAAGTGTGAATCAGGTATATGTTGCAAGCCTGCCTGGGGGCTTTTATAGGTAAATGATGGGATATGAATCTTCTAAATAAGTAAACATACCAACCCAATATGAAAGGCTTATATGCACAAGGCCAACACACCCATGTATACTCAGTAGTAGCCCCACTAGAAATCTGTAGGAACAATGAGCAGTAAGTCCTACTGAAAATTAAGAGAGTCGCATACAGCATTTAAGAAAGCAATTCATGTACATGAATGAAGAAATGTACAGAGATCACTTTTATATATTTTCCTAAAAGGATGCAATCTCTGTAGAGAACAAGTGGTATGTTGTAGAGATGAAAGTTCTTCCCTAATCTCTCTCTTCCTTGATGAGACATGTAATGGAAATTCCCACGATGGGATATGTCTAAGCTATACAGGAAGTTCTCTCTTGAGATAAAAGTCCTATCACAAAATCATAGAATTGTAGAGTTGGGAAGAGACCTTGAGGGTCATCTAGTCCAGCCCCCTGCAATGAAGGAATCTCAGGTAAAGCATCAATGACAGATGAGCATCCAACCTCTGCTTAAAAACTTCCAAGAAAGGAGAGTCTACCACCTCTCATGGGAGACTGTTCCACCGTTGAACAGCTCTTACTATCAGAAAGTTCTTCCTGATGTTTAGTTGGAATTGCCTTGTAACTTGAATCCATTGGTTTGGGTCCTAGCCTCCAGGAGAAGGAGAAAACAAGCATGCTACATCTTCCATGTGAGAGACCTTTAGATGTTTGAAGAAGGCTATCATATATACTCTAAGTCTCCTCTTTACCAGGCTAAACATACCCAATTCCCTCAATTGTTTCTCATCAGGCTTAGTATCCAGACCCTTTGGTTGCTCTTTTTTTTTAAAGGTAAAGGTACCCCTGCCCATACAGGCCAGTCTTGACAGACTCTGGGGTTGTGCGCCCATCTCACTCAAGAGGCCGGGGGCCAGCGCTGTCCGGAGACACTTCCGGGTCACGTGGCCAGCGTGACATCGCTGCTCTGGCGAGCCAGAGCCGCACACGGAAACGCCGTTTACCTTCCCACTAGTAAGCGGTCCCTATTTATCTACTTGCACCCGGGGGTGCTTTCGAACTGCTAGGTTGGCAGGCGCTGGGACCGAACAACAGGAGCGCACCCCGCCGCGGGGATTCGAACCGCCGACCTTTCGATCGGCAAGCCCTAGGCGCTGAGGCTTTTACCCACAGCGCCACCCGCATCCCTCTCTTTGGTTGCTCTTGAAAAGGTTGTGCTTACGTGTGTGTGTGTGTGTGTGTGTGTGTGTGTGTAAGAGACACTGCAGACTGGAGTCTCCTCACAAACAGGAATCACAGATCTATTTACAAGTAAGAACATCAGCCAACTGCCTAAACAATAGGACAGCTGTCAGCTTTGAGAAGTGGGATAAGTCAATTTCACTCCTAAAATACTCACTCACTCTCTCTCTCTCTCACTCTCTCTCTCTCTCTGTGTGTGTGTGTGTGTGTGTAGGGGAAATGAATATTCCCATATGTAGACACATGCTTGCATGAAGGAGAGAGAGACTAGAAACTGAATGTAATGAGATAGGAGGCTGGGAAGGGTTTTAGCTTGCAGAGGTAGACAGGAGA